TATGTCGAGCGTTTCAAGGCAACAATCCCACAAAGCTTAGCCGAGCTCATTAACAAAAGTAGTACGACCCAACACCCAGTTCAATTTCTCATATACGACTCCATTCTACCATGGGTTCCGGATGTGGCTAAAAGTTATGGCATAGAAGGATGTCCATTTTTTACTCAATCATGTGCGGTTACCGTTTTATATTACCACGCAGTACAAGGGGGCGCATTGAAAATTCCTTTAGAAGAAAAATCTTTGGTGTCTTTGCCTTCCCTGCCAGAATTGGAGTTCAATGATCTACCATCTCTTGTTCACGGTCCAGGCTCATATCCCGGTATATATGACCTCCTTTTTAGCCAGTTCTCAAATATTGAGGAAGCAAGTTGGCTCCTTTGGAACACGTTCAATAAGCTTGAAGATGAGGTACGTTCCGAGTTCCCAAAAATTGAACTATACGATATAATATATTATATTCATATGCTATAGTAGACATACAGTTGTGCATAAGAACAATAGGAAATATTAGACTGTCTGGTGTCTGTAGTAATCTGTAAATGGATTGAATCCAACATGTATTAATTCCTAGTATAGATTGAAATCAATCAAATTGTACTTGCTCTTAGGCCTCTCTTAATGTTAGTTCGATGATTTTTTCATGGTTAAAGAAAAAAACAAAAAGTGCGCTTAATTGTATGCGAATGATGACTTGGTCATTGCTTCAACTCTCTCTATATACAAAGTCAGACAGTATGGCCTTGATCAACAAGGCTTAATCACTATCACGTTTCGCATCATCTATTGCAATTTCCATGAAGGGAAGGTAAGTAGAAAGCTGTCAGCATCACTCACTAACATGGTTACTGTCTGCTGTCTGCACTCACCTACCATGTTTTGTTTGGCTCGGAAACATAGCCAAACTTACCGTGATAGGCCAACGTGCAATGACTAATTATTTACCCAAAGGCATATTTTACGCATTGCATCGTTGGCACATCGCATGGCAGGGATTCCCATTTCCCACCCGAAAAAAGACCAACATGCATGATCATGTTTTCTGCAACAAATTTGTAATGTTATATGTATATTGAAACGTTTTTTTTTATTTTTAAGTGGCTCACAATGTTTTTCATTATTGATTTGCTATGTTTTTTAAGCAAACATCAATGCCACTTACGACAGTTTACGTGCGGCACCCAAATTAGTGCACAATTGGTCAGTTCCCTGATTGATTCGTCTCTGATATTATTGGAATTTTTCAAGCTTTCAAACTTTCAAAAGCTTGAGCTTTTTTGGCCGGAAGAAGCGGGATGAGACTTCAACCCTCAAAATAAATGTCATTTGTCCACCTATAGCAGGATTTAGGCTTTAAATGGTGTAGGCTTTTTTTCGATCTGGTGATTGAGTAACCTCACGTAGTAGTGAATTGACAGCTGAATCCAAGTTCAATGTTTATACTTCAAATATGCTCTTCATATGGAGTTAAAATTTTAACAAAATACTAAGTATTTTAACACTTTTTATAATTGATTAATTGCTTTCTATTATGTTCCTTCAATTGGTAATTAAACACTAGTACGAATTTATTTCTTTGACGGTGCTAAACAGTAATCAAACATCTTAAATGTTTCTATTCAGATTGTGGATTGGATGGCAAGCAAGTGGCATATCAAGCCAGTAGGACCAACAATTCCGTCAATGTTCTTGGACAAGCGGTTGGAGGATGACAGAGACTATGGTCTCAGCATCTTCAAGCCCAGCTCTGAAACTTGCATGACATGGTTAGACTCCAAGGAAGCAGGCTCAGTTGTTTATGTATCATTCGGCAGCCTCGCTGCTTTGACAGAATACCAAATGGCTGAACTGGCCTTGGGTTTGAAAAGAAGCAACACCCACTTTCTATGGGTTGTAAGAGAATCAGAAAAGCAAAAACTACCTAGCAACTTTGTAGAGGAGATAACAGAGATGGGTCTAGTTGTAACATGGAGTCCTCAACTGGAGGTCCTGGCTCACAAATCTGTGGGGTGTTTCATGACTCATTGTGGGTGGAATTCGACACTCGAGGCTTTGAGCTTGGGAGTCCCAATGGTGGCAATGCCACAGTGGACAGATCAACCAACCAATGCAAAGTTTGTCACTGATGTTTGGCAAGTAGGGGTTAGAGTAAAGGTAGGTGAAAATGGGATTGTGAAACAAGAAGAGATAGAGAGGTGTATAACGGAAGTCATGATGGAAGGTGAAAGAAGGGATGAAATCAGAACTAATTCTGAGAAGTGGAAGAAACTAGCCAAAATGGCTCTGGATGAAGGTGGAAGCTCAGACAAGAACATCGAGGAGTTTGTGGCAAAACTTGCATGCAACTGCATTAATGGCATCAAGAGTCCCGTTAATAGACCATAAAAACATGCACTCAATGCAAGATATGATTGCTGTGGTGATAAATTACCCCGGATCTACAATGGAATTTCTTAGATACCGAAGTGATTTAGAAAGGGAAAAAAATACGATTCTCAGTTAAGAGTGGTAATTAGTACCTACACTAATAAGTGTTGGGGTATAGGCAATTTTTAGAACCACTACTTTGGCTTCCGAAGCTAGTTGTTGAAATAGAAAACGAAAACATCAATAAAACAAAATTTAATACTACTGGATTTTTTTTTCTAGCAAAGTATATATTTTAATTTTCTTTTCAATAAAACTATGTATTTTATCATTCATAAATGACTTAATGCGAACTATATACTTTTTAATTATCTTAATTCGTTTTTTTAAAATTATATTGAAATATCATCAACTAAGCTTTTGATAACAATATTAGCACATATCTAATTTTTTAACTAAAATTTCAAGCAATGCTGACATAATAGTCTATTTAAGTATGACACATGGACTTCAAGCAAGCCACGCAAGTGATTTTCCACGTTATTGCTTACGAGGATTCAACATGACTTTCTAAAGTTCACGTGTCATGGTTACATGGATCCTACGTGACTTGCTAAAGTTCACGTGTTATTTTTCGTCACTTGCCAAGTCAACATTGCTTGGAATTTTGATTAAAAAATCGGATCGATGCTAGTATTATTATCGGATACTTACGTGGTGTTTGATAACCTAATTAAGTAGCTTAAAAAATTAAGTTATACTACTTAATATAAAAATCTTGTTTGATAACTTAAATGATATCATATTAAAACTTTAAGTTCAGCTTAAAATCTACCTAATTAGATAAGTTAAAATTTTTAACTTATCCGATTAAGTCAAACTATCTAAAACATACTCTCTCCCTCTCTCTCTCTCTCTCTCTCTCTCTATATATATATATATATATATATATATATATATATATATATCGAATTTATATATTATAATAATATATTTTAAAAAATAAAAATCGACGTTATAAAATTTTATTCCAAAATTCATATATTAAAAAATCAAATTTATTAACAAATAAAATTATATCAAAAATTAATTTGATGAGAATTTTAATAAGAAAAAAATAATTGAAAAAAATAAATTTTAAACAATAAGAGTAATATAATCGGATGCATATGTTCAAACTAAAATCTTAAAAAATATTATATATATTCTATCATCTTCAAACAGGTTTATTATATTCGAGTACTTAATTTTCAAGTAAATGTCAAACGAACTTGTCGGGAACATATTCAAGTACTTAACATATTCAACACTTAAAATTCGAGTACTTAATAGATTCAACATTTAATTTTCAGTTTTATCAAACACCACCTTAGTTGGTGATATTTTTATATAATTTTTTTTAAAAAAGGCTAAAATTATTAAAACGTGTATAGTTGATGATTTTTTGAAACATTAAGTTTTTATAAATTAGTTTTATACATTGAGAACATGAAAACAAGAGAGAATAATATCATGACAATTAGTCTATCATCAAATCCCTTGAAACAACAACTAAATTTCTAGTAAGAATTTCCTTTTTCCTTAAATTTTCAATTTTCTAGCTCATTTGCTTTTATTATTATTTTTTTTAACTTTTATATATGTGTGTGTGTGTGTGTGGGAGTTGATATGATAGTTAAAGAGGTTTTTTTTTTTTTTTTTTTTTTTTTAAGTTAGCATTCAAAAAATTTATGAAGTTTCTCTTAAAAAAATCATCCACGAAAAAAAATTGATTTCAATTAACATATAAATTAATTCAAAAACAATATTTATCGTTGAATTAAAAAAAAATTGATATATTGCTTTAAGAACACACATTATTACATAGGATTTAAGTTTGAAAAAAAATTCATAATAAAATAATTTTTTATGTATACATTAGAATACTTGTTTAAAACCAATTGGAAATCTACTTAGTTTACTTTTACCCAAAAAAAAAAAAAAAAATGTAAAAGCACCCTTATCGTTTATATATATATATATAAATAAAAGACAAAGGAAAGTCCCCTTAGACAAAAGGACCAATCGAACATTTTATAGGGTTTGCATTTTGCAAAACTAGGTCCAGAGTATATGGGCTGATCCAGAATTTCAAAATTAAAACCAAACCAATCCCGTAAGTCCATTTAAGAAAAAAAAAAACCTTCCCGCTCATTTGCCGAGTAAATTATAAATTAATTCTTTTAGTTTTGAAAAACTAATTAATTGGTCCCTCTTTTTTAACACATAATTATTTAGTCCTTTTTATATTTTATGTTCTTTTCTAATTTGTTTTTGTTTTAAAAAATAAAAAAATAAAAAAAGATATTATAGAAATATTTATATAAAATGATATATTTTTAAAATAAAATACTATTAAATTAAGTGTAATTAAAGTTTATCAAAAGACTATGAAATCAGTTTTGAAATAGAAAAGATTAATTAATTAATTTTTCTCAATTAGAGGGACTAATATATAATTTACTCCTCGTTTACTCTTTCTTTCTTCCCCAAATAATACACAATACAAATCAAAAACCCTCAATTTCACTTTATCAGTTATCACTCCCCCTCTCTCTCGCATTTCCTTTGTCCTCTTTCTCCAAAAACAAAAAATGAGAGAAGAGCAAATAGAGAAGCTGCGAGGGGTAGTGCGCGACTGCGTGAGCAAGCACTTATACTCCTCGGCCATTTTCTTCGCCGATAAAGTCGCCGCTTTCACCAACGACCCCGCCGACATCTACATGCAGGCTCAGGCTCTCTTCCTCGGCCGCCACTACCGCCGTGCCTACCACCTCCTCAACGCCTCGAAAATTGTCCTTCGCGACCTCCGCTTTCGCTACCTCGCTGCCAAATGCCTCGTAAATCTTCGAATTTTCAAGATTTTTCTTACTTTTTAGGGTTTTCTGGATGAACTTTTAATTATTTTTTTTGAAATTGTGGTCAGGAGGAATTGAATGAGTGGGACCAGTGTTTGTTAATGCTTGGTGATGCAAAGGTTGATGAGCATGGGAATGTGTATGACACCAAAGATTGCAATGCTATGTACTTAGATAAGGATAGTGAAGATCGTGAGATCAATGTGAGTTTCTTTTTCTTGTTTGGTTGCTATTGATTATGCATTTTTATTTGGCAAGATGTAGATTTTCTTCTCAACGTTTAAAATTTTATTCTTCGTCTTTTACAATTTGTTTGTGAATCTGTGAAGTTTTTTTTCCTGTTAGTTAATTGGGATACAGGTGTGAAAATCTTGAATATGTTTATATAGTAGGTGGACTTATTACTATGAATTTTGGTTACCGAAATGTTGTTTTTCTGTTTGGGACAGATTTCTGCAGCAACATGTTTCCTAAGAGGCAGGGCTTATGAAGCATTGGAAAATCGTGCACTGGCACGACAGTGGTAAGCTTTCCTCAGCCATCTTATTTATCAAGAAAGATTACTGTTTCTTTAGTCCATTTTATTTATTTATAGTAATGCATTTGCTCTTTTACGACGATATAAGGTACAAAGCTGCTATCAAGGCTGATCCTTTATGTTATGAGGTATCCTGCTATTGCAGTTGTTTTACCTTTGTCTTTTGGTTTAGTTTGTAGGTTGCATAGCTGAGTTTCTTGCCTTGTAGTATTTGTGCATGCAAAAGGCTTTAACATAACTTTGAATTTGCATATTAAGAGCTTGATAAAGATTAAAGAGATTTCTTGATAGATTCAACTGAAGCTGTTTCGCCTTTGTTTTGTTTTTAATTGTGCTTATTGTTTTTACTGAGGTTGGAAGTGTGAATGATGGTTGTATCTCCATTGTTTCCCAGGCTTTGGAATGCCTTATTGAAAATCACATGCTCACATGTGAAGAAGGTAATGGCTCTCCCAACCTTCTTTTGCTCGATACATTCAGCTGCACATTGCCATTTAACTATAGAGAATTAATCTTATCTGATTTACAGTATTTATTGCTTAAGTGGTGATTGTTGAGTATTCCCCTACGCTGTACTATTCTAGCATTCGTTTTATTAACTGAATGAATTTAAAATTGAGCCTGCATTGCTTGAAATAACAATTTCGTTTAATACTCAAATGTCTTATATTTGCTACTGAATTGCAGAAACAAGTCTGCTTTCCTCCTTGCAATTTGGTCAAGAAGATGGGTGGCTCTCTTCATTCTACTCGTGTTTGATAAAAAAGGTTAACACACAGAATTATAGAGTATACCAGTCAATATGAATCCAAACTAACCATTTCCCATAATCTATTTGCTTTAGTAAATCTGTGTGCTGGTCTGAAACTAACCTCAGTCCCCTGGTCACAGTATGACAAAGAGAGTGTTATAGAAGCCAAATTCAGAGAAGTTGAAAAAGAAAGCTGCAATAGCAATCCTTCTAGCCCATCTTTCATGCATACTCTAAAAAACAATACCGATCTTTTGGCCTGCAAAGCAGAGTACTTCAATCAGTGTGGTGAATATCAGAAATGCTTTGAACTAACTTCAGAGTGAGTTTCTTACTTGTTTCAAACAGAATACAGCCAAGATCATACCTTAAATGCATCAGTTGATCTGAGCTTTATCTCCTCGTTTGCAGTCTTCTTGAGAAAGACCCTTTTCATTTGAAATGTACTTTGGTACATTTAGCTGCTGCTATGGAGCTTGGAAATTCAAATGAGCTCTATCTTATGGCATCTAACTTAGTGAAGGATTATCCTCAAAAGTGAGTTTCATTTCTCTGCCTCTATGTTTATGATATGCTCGTATGAGGTGTTTGGATTTGAAGGATTACTCTCAGGAGCAACTTCTTTATCTCCCTTTCAATGTGAAGGATTATGCTTAAATTGAGTTATGCATTTTCCCTTTTTTTCCTTCTATTGTTTGCTTGCTAGATGTGGTAAAGGCATGCTTTGCTTGTCATCCTGATCAAATGTGAACATGCTGATATCCCAAATGATTTGGTGTTTCAGTAACAACTCCACTAACTAAAATAAAGAAAGAAGTTAAAGAGAAGGAAGTAAGAACTCTTGTCAACCATGTATCCACAACACTTGAAATACCATTCATATTAACATGTGGTTTGCTGGTGATTACTTGCATAGTCCAATAAAAAGTACTGTGCAAAGATTAGTATTCATTTATTGTAGTTATTGGACTTCTTATCCATTAGGACAGTCACTTTCTCTAACGAAGCTAAAATTTACCTGATGTATAACTGATTGCAACAGTTTTCACATGTGTACATTCCTACCATTGTGCATGGAAAGATTGTAAATCCTAAGAAGTAATGTAATGGTGAAACCTATTAGAATATGATGCTCTAACTGTGTAAATTTTTCCTCCAAGGGGTATTCCTTGTGAAGAATTGTCAACAATAAAATCATGTAAAGTGAAATCAACCAGTTCAGAAGATTTTAAATCGATAAAACGAAATGGTACATTAGAAATGAGATGGTTTCAGGGTTGTCAAAAAACAAAAAGAAAAAGAAGCGAGTGCTTTCTTCCATTGTTCATCACTTCAGTAGTATAATAATTGGATATTGGTCTCCTTTCGTATTTCTCTAGATGTTTTGTTATGTCCTGCTCGAAATTGTGCAAGAATGATAACTTGTCTATGCTCATCTTTATTTCATTCTTAACTGCTTTTGAATTACTAATTATAAATAGTGAAAAGGAAAAGGGAAAACAACAAAGAAAGAGATTGTGTTTCTCTCTCATAGACTTCATTTCAGATTAAGCATGAATACAAGGAGTGTCCATTAAATATTATGTAATTGCACATTATGTTTACTTATTAGGGCTTCTCATCATCTAGGGCTCTCTCATGGTTTGCTGTTGGCTGCTACTACTACTGTATCAAGAAGTATGATCAATCCCGGCGTTATTTCAGGTAACTGTTGCCAGAAGCTTGGTAAACCATGTACCTGTTTTGCTCCTTTTGGCCTTATGGAACAAATCTGATTCCTTCCTTTCTCTTTGTTTTACAATACAGCAAGGCTACGAGTCTAGATGGAACCTTTGCACCTGCTTGGATTGGCTTTGGGAATGCATATGCTGCTCAAGAAGAGGGAGATCAAGCAATGTCGGCATACCGCACTGCTGCTCGTTTATTCCCAGGGTAATTCAGACTTGATACTCATTAACCTCTTCGACTTGATACTCATTAACCTCTTCAACTTGATAATAGTATACTATTTCTTCACTATGTAGTAAACTGAAGGGTACATGATTTGGAGCATTATGTGCTTTTGTTCAGCTGCCTTTGTTCTAAGAAAATGTTTTAGCATTTCCCTGCTCACTTGAGTTTCTCTGCCTCCATAACCTTAGGAGGTTATTTTAGGCATCCATACCAACCTCCAATGGAGCTCCATTTATTGTTTAGTATATTCAATAAAAAAGCTATAATTTGTTATGGAAAATAAATATGAAAATCGAAACATATATAGAATTGGTTTGCAAGCAATATAAGAAAATTAAAGAGTTCCTTGTTATTAAAGAAAATCATTCAAATATATATGGAAAAATCCTAAATATAAAAGTTATTTATACGAATATATGCTGGTTTGGAGGCCAAATGGGTTTTCTCTGTACCCGCCACCATTGCTGTGGGTACATGTGGAACTCTATTGCCACCTTTTTGAAAGGATCACTGTCTTTAGTACTTCCTTCTACCTGTTAGAATTGAAAGAGTTTGCCATATAATTTATAGGCCTTCTTCATCTTTCTTTCCTATCATAGAATTTTTTAGCCTCATGAAGAAAGAATAAAAGTATTTCTTTCCTTACCATGCTTTTTTATCCTCTCTCTTCTGTGCTTACATTGATTCAAACGTTAGATTCATGGCAGTCCCACTCTGCTTATAGTTTCCCCAGTCTCAACTATTGGCTTACATTTTAACTGTGAAACTTTTAGATGGAATAATGTATTATTATTATTTTATTTTTTTTGTTAACCTGCCTTTGCCTAAGGTTGCTGTGTTTTCTTGTTGGTTCCTTTTGTTTTCTTAGTGTAATTATTGATATTGCCTTTAAAATATGAAGTTGAGGTGGAAATTTTTATATCTGATCATTACAGTGTTGCCAGGTAGTTTGATATTGATTGCTTTTTTGGGATTGATATAGTCTGGGCCATGAGCTGGCTGGCTTTCTAGCTGAAGATTCTTTTAGGTTTGGAGTTGTTAATTTAAACCAGAAAAGTGGTGGTTGATTTCCCTGCCTCTCCAAATCTCCAAAGGCAGTTTAAGTTGACAAGAAGCTACTCGTTGATATAGTGCTTTGAAATTAGTGTCTTTGTTTTTTTGGTTCCAAGGTTATGCATTGTTGAAGGCCTCTTATTACTTATCAATTGTCTTTTTACAGGTTGAATCTTGATATTCTGTTATTCCAGGTGCCATTTACCAACTTTGTATATTGGGATGGAGTACATGCGAACCCACAGCTATAAGCTTGCTGAGCAGGTGATGTTTTATCTTCTGAACATTGACCAACTGCTATTTTTGGTCTGGAATTTGGGAAATTGAAAAAAAATTGTGTTTCAATAACACAATTAGCTGCTGGTGTTTTAACTGGTGCTGCATGATTCTTCCTTGATGCTAGAGAAAACTTTGCTTTAGTTTTGTCATGTTTCAGTTCAAGATTGCTATCTTTGAACTCACATTTGTAGGTTAGCATTTGTTGCATTGACTTCAAATTCTTGTTGTAATTTAAACAAATGATTTCCTTTTTCCATTTTGGGGAATTATTCTTAGCTTGCTTGCAAAATGAACATAAATTGTATGGACAGTTAACATAATGTTATTGCCCTTTACTTGCTTGTCATTTGGAATCCAGTTTTCCTTTCTACTTTTCATTGTGTTTTTTGTTATGGTTTGTCAACATTCTGATTCATCATCTGTTTTTCAGTTTTTCATGCAGGCAAAGACGATTTGCCCTTCAGATCCACTTGTCTACAATGAACTTGGTGTTGTTGCTTATAATATGAAGGAGTAAGGATATATCTCTCATCTCATCATTTTGTGGAAGTTTAACTTGGAAATTTTACTAACAGGTCTCTTTTATGTTGTTAATGATCATGGCTTTTCTTTGAAGCATCGAATAATCAAATTTGCAAATAGCATTTATTATTAAGTGTCATATATTTCATTGTATGGCATTCGTTGTATATGGTGCTCTTTACTTAAAGTAATTGGTTGTAAACTCTTTGTTGCCCGTGAAGCTATTTGGCCTGCATAATTTGTTTCTCAAATGCTTTCAGGTACAATAAGGCAGTGTTGTGGTTTGAGAAGACTTTGAAGCACATTCCATCTTTAAGTCAATTGTGGGAACCAACTGTTGTTAATCTTGCCCATGCCTACAGAAAGTTAAAGTACGTTTTAAAATTTGTTGGAGTGGGTAGTTATGCTCTCATTTTACCAGTTGCTTCTTGCCATATAGGTAGTTCAAGATGTGTGATTTGTCTGCTTTAATCTAGAATTTTCCTTACACTTGAAATGAAATATATTTCTCATTCTCAAATTGAAAGATCGTTTTTCTATTTGGTGTCTTGATGTTTTCATATTGTTGTAGGGATGATTAGTTTATGTTCTGCATTTGTTCTTCAATCCACAATTGCTGAGGTCTTTGTCAACCTGAATGAAAAGTAGTTATCCCTCTAATCAACTATTTCTAGTAGTGGTAATGAATGAATTGCTTTGAACTTGCATAACCATTAATTTCAATTTTTTTAGTTACAGTTTTTATTTATGGAAAGCTTTAGTGATATTTTTACTCGTAGCATTAAGGTTCTTATACACCTGTTGGTTTCTTCTTCTTTTTTCCTAAAGCTTTTGTGTGGAAGTATTTTTAAGGATCAATCTTGGTGCGCTTGGTGGCATACAACAGATAGGAATCTAATATCATGTTATAGCATTTACTTGCTCAAATTCCGTTGATGAGATTATAGGAGGTTCAGTTTGGCCCTTTGTCATCCTCAGATCTTCAAGAATAGGACGAAAAGAAGTTTCTTGAATCCATTAATGCTTGTGTGGTCATATAGTGGTCTCTTTATTCATTGCATAATTGATTTGTCGTGAGCAGTATGGCTGACATTGTGATTTGTGGTTTGACTTTATGTACATATTTGAGTTGGAGTTGCTTTCTTCTCTTCCATTTCTTGCAGCCATCATTGTATAAATAGAATTTTCTCTTATTATGAGTGTAAATGAACATATGGCATATAATTTTTTCCTTTAATCATGTCAACCTATTATGTCAGGATTTACCATGAAGCAATTTCATGCTACGAGAGAGCACTTACGTTATCACCTAGAAGCTTGAGTACTTATGCTGGTCTTGCATATACTTATCATTTGCAGGTAAACTGAGTTCTTTTCATTTCAATTTAAGTCTGTTAAACTGGCATATCAGTTGGCTATTGTAGTTGAAAGCAATAGTTTGAGAAAAGTAATTATTATCCAGAGAGAATAAGAAGTACTAGAAGTGGAGGACTAATGAAGTGGGTTAGTGCGAATAATGAGATTGGCATGAAAGTCAATTATGGTATCTTTGCTATACTTCCAGTGACTTTTGTGCGAGGGTTCATAACTAAAAACACTTGAGGATATATATATATACTGCCTAAAAAAAGAAAAGAAAAAAAAAAACGGAGAGGTGCTTAACTAGTCTTGTAAACGTCGACATGCATGACTTGTACAACTCAATAATCAGTGGCCTGTTATGATTTCAAATAGGCATATTCCAAGGGTCAAGAACCTCAAGTTTCAAACAGCGAAAAAAGAACTAGGTTCCTGAAATTTAAGCCTTTAATATAGAACTATTATAAAATATTAGGGTTATACGGTTTTGTTCTAGACCTTCATTAAACTTTCCAGGATGGAAATGTTAAAACAGGAACCTAGTTCAGTTCAAACAGGAAGTACTACTCTTTTGATTTTTCTTTCTCATAAAATCGAAGTCACATTCTATGTTGTGCTTAAATGTCATAGACCTCATAGTTACTGGTCTGGCAAGGCAGGCAAGAAAAATAAAGATTGATTCGGTTCCCGGAAAACAATATTCAAATCATATGAACATGAACACAAACTAGCATGGGACTATTTCCATTATTCAAGTCATCCAACAACATCCTATATTTGTTTAAATCGGAAGTTTATACTCCATTTTTAAGCTGTAGTGTGTTCCGCAATTGACTGGTTGCAAATCACCTTTTGTCAGACTTGGACTGACTTGGAAGAATGAACTAATTTTTAATGCAAATTATAATGACTTGCCATTAGATTGCCTGAAAAGTTGGACTACTTTCCAAACTTGGGAAATTTTACAATTTGATACCATCCTCATGATTTAAAAGCCATCTTATCGGTGCCTCTTCTTTTTCCCTTTTTTTGTTTTTTTGCAGGATAACTTTACTGCTGCAATTACATACTACCACAAGGTAATTAGTCAGGGGTAATGAAATTTTACTATGTTTACTTTGTGCTTCATCCCCTCTATCTTCTTTCTCGTAAAAATTCCCTAAGATTTGCTCCTATCATATTTGCTTCTCAAACAGGCTTTATGGCTGAAACCAGACGATCAATTTTGCACTGAAATGTTGAGTTTGGCACTTGTAGATGAAGGTCGTCGAGGCATAGACCCCAAAATTGAATTCCGCTAAAATGAGTGATGTTTAATGACAGTTTTTATTCTTTTTGCTCTTGTTGTAATGTATGTGGAATATGAACTTTAAGTCCTTGAATGGGTTGATTCATTTTGGTCCTTTTTAGAGCTGGGCAATATGTATTACAGTAGGGGTAGAGTTAGGCAATATTTATAATCTGTAATTCTGTATCGTTTGGTTTTATCAATTGATGTAATTTGGATAGTTCAATTTTAACCCATTTTCATGAAATTTTAGCTGTGTTATACTTGAGAAACACTGTTTCTTATTCATATTGCTAATTCTATTGACAAGTATGTGGTGATAAATTGCATATTCTGAGTTTGTTGCTCAATTAACAACCTGTTTATAGCGCTATCCAATTTTCCAGCAATTTCACTTCGACCTACCATGATTGTGTACTTCATCCTTTACTTGGCCTTTTGTGACTTCAATTAAAGATAAAAGAGGTGATATCAAGTCAGAAAATTTACCAGTGTACTTGTGCGGTATTTGTAGCCCAGCCTTGTAAAGATGGGAAGTATTACCACAACACCACATGACCAACCCACTCGTCTGAGCAGGGTAAGATCTGAGGCCTGAAGATAGAAATGGAGTGCTTTTTGTTTGACAAAAACGTTTGCGATAGACAGCATCCGTCTCTTGAAGAAGTCTAAAAGAAAATCTGCTAATAAAAACAAGGCGATAATGCTATCTATAGGCACTTTCAGCCGTGGCCATTTTATTATACACATAAGAAGCACACAACAATTTTGGATGACGATTGCTTTATTTGAAATGTTTTCACATGAGGAATGGATAGACATACAACCACTCACCAGCAGATGCAAGCAAGCGGTTAGATTCGCCGTAAAAACGTGCAAGTAAGAAAACACTTGTAGCACAATGACAACACATGTCCAGTTACGTATTTATTTGGAAAATGGACAGCCATGTGTTGCTGTTGCAGCGTTGACAGTTTTATCTTCTGATTGAGACGGCGAGACGTTCGGCCCCTTAAGTAGCCCTCCAAATAACTCTGCTGGGTCATAGTAAACCTCCACATCTTCTGCTCTCAGAGATTCATCCACCTGGAAACCCGTAAAAAATCACAAGCCATTTTTTATTTATATCATAGGCAATCGTTTTAACTTTTTTTTTTAATTAATTAATTATTATTTTTTTTTATCAGTAGTATATGTTCTGTAGTGTATCTCAGTTATTTTCATTTTATGCATTAGGTTGTCTTTTACTTTCTTCTCTTCTTTTTCCTCTTTCATGTGATAGAAATTCAAAATTTTCAAGTTCTTCATAGTTTCGTGTGTTATGGTAAAACTGATACCAACATTCAAAATGTAATGCCATTAACAATTTTTTTGAACCGTGGAAATTTATTAATGTCATTTGGGCCCTGACTTTAATGATAAACGTACCACACCGTCAATATCATTAAGTTGGTAGGTGCTATTGCTTGGCCAAAAAGGCTTATCAAATTATACCTGCTCCTATGTGACTAAGAGTGAGATACACATTTGAAAGTTACTGGTGCAAATGATCTTTCTGATTAACAGCTTCAGACTAAACTTGACAGACAATTTAGATTCACGCTTTTTACAGAAGATAGATTAAGGCTAAGACTAATCCTCCAACACTGGATAGTGGATAAGATCGATCAAACGTGAAACTTGATGCGTCTATTTCTAGATTTTTTATTTTTGAAAGAAAACAATTTTTTTGATGTAGTTTGGATTTTTTTTTTCCTCTTTTTAGATGAATAGTTGGATTTTTTTCTTTTTAGTATCTTTTAAAGCTTACCTTGAGGACTCCAAAGCCATAAAACTCAACCTTTTCTCCAGTAGGAGCATGGCCTTTGAAAGGTCCTTCAAAGAAACCCCAATGCCTGAATTTGAAAGAAATCACCGGAGGCCCTGAATATACACTCAGAACTTCCCATGCGAATCCTCGAGGCAAGGCAGATCGAAAGGCATCGTGAGATGATTCAAAGGTTTCTTCATCTGCTTTGTAGTACTGAAATTCCTTTGGCAGGGAATTCTTCAACAAAGCATTGTAGCTCCCAATCCTAAGTGTCTCTTCTCCTGATAATCCCTCTCTTCCTGTCATACAATTAAATATTAATCAGTGTACTTACATGTGAGGTTCAGGGCAACTAACCATAATTGATAATCCTCTCCTTTCTGTAACATTAGTCGAGTTTAAATCAAAGAAGAATAGAAAATTGGGTTTCAAGTTTGGTGTAGTACCATTAACAATAAGCTTGAATTTGTCAGGGTTGATGGTCTTGAAGTCCTGTAAACGAGTCTTGTGTGAGAGCTCCATTTCCCATGACTTTATAGCATTTTGCACCACCTCTTCTAGAGATCCTTTTGGCCATTCCTGAAAACCATGCTTATAAGCACATAATTTGAGAGAGAAAATAAAAACTCAGCACAAACACACGTACACATAATTTAAACATATATAAGCACAAAGGCAAGGAAAAGAAGAAGAGGGAAAAAAAAAACAAGAAGGGTTGAAACCTTAGTCCGGCCTTCTTCGAAGAGCTGATTTACGGCATCATATATGGGAGGTCCACCATGCCTCCACAGTGTGGTATTCTCAGCTTCATCATGCAAGAAAGATCTGTACTTATCTCCTGCTTCTTTAATCAAAGCTTCTTCTGCAGTCGCCATATCAACTTTCCTAGAGGCTAAATTGCAAAGGTTTTGAGGGTTTTATCGGAGGCCGGAGATGGCTAAACAATGTTTGATAGAGACCAGAGAAGAAAGCAAATCACTAGATTTTATCGTGGTTGAGGTGTGGCAACCACACAACTATATATATTAGTGTACTCCCTCTAGTGTGAAAGAGATTGTGACTTTTTATTTCTTTACACGGTTAAATTTATTAGTTATGATGTTATGTGAAAATTTTTTAACTCATTTTTTTATTAAAATTATTAGTTATCAAATTTAATTTTATATTACATAATTAATATAATTTTAAGGAGAAAATATATTTAAAATTAAGGTGATAAAAAAATCATTAAGTTAAATTAACAATTGAGTTTAAAATAATTATGAAAAAAATAATATATCAATGAAAATATTTTTCTCTTAAAATTTTACCATGCAGTTAAGTTCTTGTAAGAAATAATATTTTTTATGTAATAAAAAAATTAATGTTAAAGGTATATGTATTTATAAGAAAAAAAAATATTATTTTGTTTTTTGTTAATGAAGAACAAAAAATAAAAGAAAGAATTGATTTTCATTCTCAATTAAAGGTATTTTTTTAAAAATATATTATTTAAGGTTTTGATCAAACAAACATTTTAGAACAAATATAAATAAAAGAAGAGACAATCTCATTGGGATAGAAAGAGGAATTGATTAGTTCTATTTTAATATCATACCACTAATTCTAGTAGTTTGAATAACACAAATTAATAATTTTTTTTCTCTCTAGAATTTTGAGTCTTTTAATTTTTTTCCCCGTAGCTTCAACTATCAATGATAACTTTTTTTTTTTTTTTCAATAATTCTAGATCTAGTATCCTTTCTACTAGATCTAATTTTTTTAATTTTATATTCATCTAATTTATTTGGTATTCGTTCGATTTTTCGGTATTTACTTTAGATTAAGGTTGTTTGTTTCTTGTTTTCATATCCTTCTACTCTTTTATGGGTCTTTAATTGCAATATAAATTTTACATAGTGTTTTAATAAATTAGTATTCAAATATCTTATCCGGGTAAAAAAAGTATCAAGTGGAAGATCAATATAGCGAAGCTACTCGGTGGATTGCCGATAAAATTTTAGTTGTTTGTTTACTTATACAAAAGTTTTTCAATTTTGAGATTTGGATTCTAGATCTTTAGTTTCTATATAAAGTTTTCATGATATGTTTTTGGATGTCCTTATAGTGGCATGTGAATCCGTTTCTTCTTCTTCTTTTTTTTCTAATTGAGAATCCTTTTGTTTCTTGATTGGCTTCTAATCTAGAGATAGAACCTTTCTTCAATTTCAATTTAATAAAATTGTACCTTTGGCAAAAAAAAAAAAAAAATCCAAATTACTAACTAAATTGTTTAATAAATAAATAAACAAACAAACGTAGCAAATAATTTAATGCAAAAACGAAAAAAATTAATAACCCAAGGGTAGATTGAATAATTAAAAAGATTTAATATGCTCTTTCCGTTATGAAATAATGAATGTTTCACTCGTTTAATATGATAAATTGAAAGGGTGATGCAATTTATTCAATTATTTATGCATATTTTAATGGTTCATAATCCTTTCAAATTCCGTTCCTAATCTTGAAACCTATAAATAGGTTTGATTGTTCATTAGTTTATACACAAGTATTTTGAAGAGATTGAGAGATTATTTGGAGTTGTTATCTCTTGCATTCACTTTATTTTATAGTGAATTCATTTTTCTATCATCTTTCTCTTCGATTCTTCTATTATTTTTATTTCTTTCATAACACGTTATCAGCACGAAGCTCTAACCAATCGAGATAATAGACCATGAGATATGTATCTATCAAAAGACTTAATCATTTGTTTTAATCATTGAATTTTTTCTACACAAGTGCTCTACCAAAAGATTTAAATTATTTAGATCATTAAGAGGTATGTATCTAACTTATCATATACTTTACATCTAATTATACATAGAATATACATTTGAAAAAATTAAATGATTTAATATATAGAATCTAATAATCTAATGTATATTATTTAAAAATTTCAAATTTTATAATTATATTTGTTTTTATTTAACTTTTGTTATTATATTTTGTCATTATTTCCTAATATTATTATTATATTTTGCAATATACAGTTTTAATGATATCAACCATCACAAAACTTGATTTTGTAGCCCTTGACATTTTGGGTAAGAATTATTGATCATGAGTGCTTGATGCTGAGTTAATATCATCTATTTTTCATGTCTCGAATATGCTCCTGCAGATAGCATATCGAGCAAAAGAATTTAAGAAATATTTTGAATCGATTTCATACTCATTCGTGGCTAAATAAATGAAAAGCTATTGATGAAAAAGAATAAATCTCATCTAATTAGATCTACTTCATTTCATGAAGTGAATGTGATAATTTATAATAATTTTAAGCATGGATGAAGATGTGGTCATAGCAATAGACGTGATCGAAATAATTATCATTATAATCGTGATGACCATAATATTACATCTCATCACCGAAGTGGATAACTATGAAAAAGAAAAAAGAGTAAAATATAGAAGCCAATTTTATATATCAAAATAGAGATATTTGAAATTAATAATTTGTTAGCTTTTCTATTTATAAATAAGATGCATTTTTTATAATTTTTATTGCATAGAGATGGTGATAAATTTATTTTACTATAAATTTATTTATTTATGGTAATAAATAAATTTATTATTTATTTATTTATTTATAAATATGCCTTATCAAATCTTGTTGAAAAAGAAAAAGGTAAAATATAGATGCCAATTTTATATATCAAAATAGAGGTAATTGAAATTAATAACTTGTTAGCTTTTCTATTTATAAATAAGATATTTTATATTTTCTTATAATTTTTATTGCACGAGAGATAATGATAAGTTTATTTTAATATAAATTTATGTATTTATGGTTATGAAAAATTTATTTATTTATTTTGTATTTATTTATTTATTTTGTATTAATATTATATTTGATAATATCAATTTACTAAAAACATTTAGAAGAGCAATTATATCATGACTCGAAGAGATAAATTTTTGAAGCTCTAGAAGAGTGAATATATTATTACTTGAAGAGACAACTTTTAAAGGCTCCGTAAGGGTTGATATATTATTATTTGAAATAATTAATTTAAAGACTCGAGAAGAGAAAATATGTTATTATTTGAAAGGAGAAATTTTATTAGAAATGATATACTATTCTTTTCAAAGTCTCGTAGAAATTTGTTGAACTTCAAAGGTAATCATCTAAATTGATATCATATCAAGATAACAAATGTGAATATTTATATATTATAACCATTATATCGGGTAGAAAATATGTATTAAAAAATTTTATCCGCTTTCTCTTTTGATTTTTATTACAAACATTGGAATGATTGGAACAAATGCTATAGTAAACAGGAAGTTTACTAATTCAAATATTTTTATTATGTGGTATGATTGGTTATGTTATCCTAGGTTTTTCATGATACAAAAATATTATTAAAAATTCATATGGACATCTATTGAAGAGCCAGAAGATTTTTCAATTTAATGAGTTTTTATGTTATGCATATTGTCAAGGCAAATCGATGATTAAGCCATCATCAAGCAAAATTGAGATTGAATCTTTAGTATTTTTAGAATGTATTCAAGGTGATATATGTAGATCAATTCATCCACCATGTGAACTATTTAGTTATTTTATGATTTTAATAAATGCATCCATAAAATGGTCACATATATGCTTATTATCTACTCGAAACTCGACGTTTTCGAGATTGCTAGCAAATAATTTAATTTCGAGCATAATTTTTAGATTATGCCATTAAAACAAGTCACCTTGATGATGCTGGTGAATTTATTTTTTAAGCATTAAATTATTATTGATTGGCTATTAGAATAAAGTTTGAACATCCCGTTGCTCATGTTCATACCTAGAAAGGTTTAGTAAAATCATTTATCAAAAGACTCTAATTGATAGCTAAAACATTATTTAAAATAAAACTCCCTGTTTATATTTGGGGATATGGAATCTTCTATGCATCAACACTTATTCGCATCGGACCCATAAGTTATTATAAATTCTCTCTCTTTTAATTGGTTTATGGTCACGAGCCAAATATTTCTTACTTAAGAATTTTTTTGGCATTGTAGTATATATCCGTAGTACTCCTCCATAATGAACTCGAAATGAGCACTTAAAAGGAGATTGAAAATATATGTTGGATTTAAATCCTTTTTGATAATTAAATATCTTGAATCATGAATAAGAGATATTTTTACGGCTCGATTTATCGACTCGTCATTTTGATGAAATAAGTTTTTCAACATTAGGGGAAGAGAATAAACAAAATAAGCGAGTTGAAAATGTTGAAAAAATGTGTTACATTGAGTACTCTATCTTATATCATCTTGATCCTCGTACCAAACAATGTGAATTAGAAGTTCAAAAGATAATTCATTTATAAGGTATTACAAACCAACTGTTAAATGCATTCTCAGCAAACCTCAAGTTACATTCAAGGGAGTAAGATGAGAAGAGAAAAATAATAGCATAATAGAAAAGGCAAGACATAGGCCCTATTTATCAAAAAAAAAAAAAAAAACTATAAACATTCATTCCTATAAACTAGGTCGACTCATCCATATCATACACCCATGCGTCAATCATATTGATACATGGATACTAATGAAACATATTTTATTTACATCATAATTATAAATCTATATTTTGGTCCTTTTATAAAGTCATCAAAATTTCTTTAAATTTAAATTTTAAAACTTTTTGGGCTTTGGGCCCATAGGCTTTTAAGCCTCGAAGGCCTATGAGCTTTCACGCCTAAGCCTCTAACTTGGTGTTGGCCTTTGGCCTAGCGTGTTTATGCATGCCTAGCTTGTCTATGGCCATTGGCCCGACATGCATGCATGCTTAGCTTGTCGCTCGACGCTCGTGCACACCTAGCTCGTT